TTATTTTTGTTTTTGTACAATAGCCAAGTAGAGCAAATTTCAAGAGGAGAAAACGCACAGGAACGCTGCTACTCAAGTCATAAGCAGCTCCTTTCCTCCAGCAACATTATCTGGCAAAACAGCTGGGGCTGAAACTGTCTATCTAAGTGGCAAACAAATTCATGGTCACCTGCATGTTCAATACCCCAGGGAAACTCATACTTCCCTTATTTGCCATGGTAGCCTTGGTCTCCTCCCAGTAAATTGGAAGATGAAGAGCGGAACACAAACACAGGGTACTCTGGCCACATCTCTCACAAATCTTGACTCTTGCCCTCTTTCTGCTTGGTCTCCCCCATGCTCCTGTGCTTTTGCTGCTTTGGTTTATATAACAAATGCTTTATTACCAAAGCCCTTTCACTCTGTGGGGTCTTGGGAAAGGTACAGGAGTACTTCCTGTATTCCCTAAATATTGTTGGCCTTGAGATTACTTGCTAAAGTGATTCTAAAGGAGTTTTATTTTTACACTGCGGGCTCACGCCATTGAGACACACAATGCGTCTCGGCCAGCCCCCAACTTTCTCTCAGATCAGAAAGCCTGAAAAACTGTCAGAAGCCCTTATGTGCATTCTTGCACTGTAAGAGATTAAAAGTTTTAGTGTCAGAGAGTCAGGAAGGATGCCAGTAAACTAGCATTTTCCAGAATGGCAACCTCCATGTTTTCCACAGTATAGTGCACAGAAAAGCCTAAGATAAACTTCCTAATTCCAAGATTTCCAGATATCTCCAAATAAAACATTTCTACACGACTAAATACTTGTCCAATATGGACCTTGATATGATGTCCACCTATGAACGACTATGTACATCTGCACAGATGCAAAGGGAGTCATATTTACACTCTACATAACCTTGTTGGCTGCCCCACAATGGTCCCTCCCAGCCTCTCTGACAAAGTGGACTGCAAACTTGAACTTGGACCTCACACCTGCAGATTGGTTGCACATTTGGCATACAACGCATAGGGTTTTTCCAAATATTGTGGACCTGGAAGTTCTATCATTTATAGTGCCATACAGGTTAGCCAACTGTGTCCTGGGCTACCCGTCTGCCTATTTTCAGGGGTGTGGGGAGCAAGGAAGATACCTACACATACAGTAGGGTGGACTTGTCCTGTAAGGCAGTCTTATTGGGTGAAAATCTTTACTATACTGTCATGGCTGTTTGATGAGTACTTCCCACCTGATCCACCAATAGCTCTACTGAAATACTCACCTTCAGAGCTGACCAAGAATCAATGTCGACTCTTCTTATCTATTATGAAGCAGACAATTGCCAGAGCCTGGAAGGTGACAGCCCTTTGTGTGATCGTGACAGAAAATTGAGTCATTCAGGCGATGATAAGGTGCACAGGTACACCAAAATTTGGCAACCCTGGGTCAACAAGTACCTATTCCTGGATTTCGATGCTGTCCTTTTGGAGCCTTAACCAAATCCATTTCTTTGTCATTGATTTGAGCTTTTGGGGCTACTGCTAGCGCAGATTATGGAACCACTCCCCCTCCTTCCTTCCTTTTCCTTCTTTTCTTCATTCTCTACTTTCCTCCTTGATTTTTAGATGTCTTCTGTATACCTTTTTGACACTTCCTGGTCCTTCCTTCCCCTGGGCTATGGCTGGGGTGGACCATCTGAGTGTTGGTTCTTTTTGCTTTCTCTGATTCAACAATGCTTAAAATGAAGTGAACAGCTATTGCCTGCTGGATTATCTCAGTTATGACACTGTTAAACCCTGGAAGAAGAGCTAGTACCCCTGGGTGGAGAATATTACCATCTACATTACCTGATGAATAGCATGTGATGGTTCTTGTATCGTTTAATAAAATACTTGAATTATAAAGATTGCTGCACAGGCATTTTGTGGAGAAAGCAAGGTGAATGCTAATCAGTTGCATTATCAAAGAAGCTTTCTATCATGTTTAATATCTCCACAGGAAAAAACTGCACTTATTACTTTCACAAATTCCTATTAGTGATGGCAAGGACACCTTTCTGATTATTGCAAGAGGGCGGCTGATTTGAGCTTCCCTTGAGATAATCAAGAGGGGTGTGCTTAAGGTGTAAGCAATAATAAACATTCATAAGCGTCAGAAGTGCTTGTTTTTGCAGAGATGGGGTTATATGGGCAACCTTGCATAAACACGATGGAGGGGGATTTTTTACTGTAATGACCAATTACAGTTGTAGAATATAACACATAGAAATGATCCAGCCTAGGCAGCCTGTTTAAATCTAATGGTCAAATCCTAGTTTGTCTGTGCGGATAATTTTACTTCATATACAGCTAAATGACCCAAACTGATCACATTTCACATTTGCATATTAGATTTTCCTGTATCACATGAGGATGTATTATTTCCCTGTGGCCTGTCTGCTATTCCTGTAGAGGCTTCTGTCTGCCCACTGTTGATAAAGCAGATAATGTCTACAGGAAAATTACATGTAAACCCCCCGCCCCCCTTCCTTGAAAAAAAGGTGCAACATAATGATGTGCTTGCATTAATATATTGAGAGGCTCAGGGCACGCCTGTTTTTTCTCCTAAGGTGTCCCTGGTCAAAACTCACTAGGGACAGCATTGCAAAAAGTCCACTCACATTCTCCAGTGAAGTTGCTCCCTTGCTTGCCAAACCAGCAAGATGTGCTCCATCATCACTGCTGATTTGAAAGCCTTTATGCAAGGTAAACAGCTGTCACTCAAACTGGCAATTTTGCGTCTTGTATTACTGAGAGACAATCCCCCTAGATGCAACAGTCCATTATACCTAGGTAAAGTGACAGTTGCCCCTTGGTGATACCAGTAGCACAATTATCAGTGTGAGTGGCAGCAGTTATTCTGCACAAGAGCTCTTACATTGAAGAAGCCAAATAACTGTCTACTCAAGCAACTTGACAGATTACTTTGAAAGATTTCCAACAAATCCTATAATAAAAAACATCTGGTGATACCTGTCAAAGCTCTACCACATGTTTTCATTTGAAGGTGTGATTTAACAAGTCAAGAATCTGACTTTCAAGGGTGACTGATATCAAGCATGGGGTGGTTGATGTATTTGTAGTAGGACTATATCTCTGTGTATGTCTACTGTATCTGCAAATTGAACAGATCCAGCCTGGTCACCTCAAACTGGGCAGCTACATCTCTTTGTGAATTGGCACACCAATGTCTAACAGGAAAAAACTAGGAGCAGGCAGGCTCTTTACTGCAGAAGACACATGCAATTTCTCTTCTGCAATAAAATAAACCTACCTGCCCTCTCATAGTCTTTAGAGGAATGTATACTGAGCTGCTTATGCACACCTCAGTTTACATACTGTCACAATGCCTGCTGTGTGCTGAGATGACTGTTTTTCTGTGCATGCCAAGGAGTGACGCCATCCTTCACCAACCAAACAAGATGAAAAAGACTGGTACCCAGAAGAAGTGGTGGAAAATATGACAGCACTGGTGAGGGACGTCACAGGCATCAGACTGCTGAAGCAGAGGCATGTATTTTGGACTTCAGATCCACTTTAAAGTGATTCTAAAGGCTGAAGGCTTTTTACTTTCAAACATTCTATGCATAAAGGTAAAAAACCTTCAATGTGCAGACCCCACCTCATACTTACCTGAGTCTGATCTCGATCCAGCAATATGCAGTAGAACAGCGACTTTCCCAGGTCTCTCCCTCCTCATTGGCTGAGATGCACTGGCTCCCGCTGCTGTCAAACACAGCCAGTGAGGAGGGAGAGGGGGCGGGGTCGAACTGTGCCATGCCATGCTCTGTGTGTCTTATATACATTTCTGTTGCAAAGCAGGTCAGTAGCCAGACCGAAACCTAATAGCTCTTCCCCACTTTGTGTCTATTTGCCCCAGGTTGGCATTGTGTCCACAGTAGCATTTGCGTTGACAGAGCAGAGTAGGACTGGCCATAGAGGGATTACTTTGACGCAGTTGGCCAGCTTAAACATGTATTGCTAAAAATCCCTATTTTATTATTGCATCATTTGCTGGAAATGGTAAATTAGCAGTGTGCAGAGGGTTCCTCTGGGATTCCTGTGTCTTTTATACACACAAAGGGGGCAACTCAAGACCGAGCATGCATGAGTGCCCCCAGAGCAAACAGCTTGCTCTGGGGACACTCAGCAGGGGGGGAAGAGCCAGGAGTGCTGATGGGGGAACCTGAGAAGAGGAGGATTGGGGCTGTTCTTTCATAACCATTGCACAGAGAACATAAGTATGACATGTTTGTTATTTAAAACAAAAAAAAATCAGAACCTTTCGTATCACTTTAAAGCTCAACTTCAGTCCTTTTGTTTCTTGTCTAGAGCTGGAAAGGGTTAGAACCTCTGACAGGTTGTCAATGCCTTCTGTGTTACTGTTGGGGAGATTTTCCCCTATTTTCTGTCAGGACAGAAAATGATGGGAAATCTACAAAGGTGTTTACAGCGCAGCCCCAAAACAAATATTATCAGAACACCAGTGGAATATTATAATTCAGTAGAGTATTTTTGCCTACATAAAAATAATTATACATAAGTACTAATTTTACATGTGTTAAGAGATACTTGGCACTTCATTTCATACAGCTAAAGTCTGGCTCTTGCTCCTGTTTGGTCAGTGAGGCCATGATAGTTCCTGACTAGCTAAGAAGTGTAGGTGGCAAGGGGCGTGAACTTACCTTCTGAAGCTGAAGATCGGGTTTTGCTAAAAAAAATGCAGCAAGCTTTTGGGGGCTCCTAGGATATGGCAAAGTATCTGAAAGTATGTACAGACAGCTGTTGCTGCCTGGCTTTTAAACCTACAATAATTTAAGTAGGTTTAAAATGAAGATGGGCACTCCAATTCATGTTGCTTTTCATTTTATAAATAGGATGGTATGTGATGAATATGATGAGCATTATTATAAGAAACAGTAAAAGTAGTAGCAAATAATACATTTAATTACTATCCATCTATGATTCCTTCTCCAGCTTCTCCTCTTACCTTGCAGCCTTCACAAGTGATGACACCGTAGTGAATTCCTGAAGATTTATCTCCACAAATTTTGCATGGTATCACTTCAATTTGTGCTGAAAAATAGAGAAGAGACAGCTCAGCTGACAGAGCATTTTCTTATTTAGCTTCCCCTATCCCTGGTCAATGACTAAAGCAGCAGAGTTAGATGATTAAAAAGCAAATGCAACATTTATTATTTTGAAGTGGCAAAGGGATCTTAGTTTTAAGCTTCTCACCAAATACATAATTTAATAGCAATATCCAATATTTGCCTGCTCTAAAACCCAGCACAAATATTTTCCTAATCCCTTTGCAATTAAAGTAAACATGTAATGCAACTTGATGTGTATTTTTGATGTTAATGCTTTGCTCTGGATGAATGTTTATATCAGTAAAATAGTTTACACTATTATTGACTTGTTTTTCGTAATAACAGTCATTGGAAAGGAAAACAAACAGCGCTTAAAATAATGCAATCAGTGTCCAATTCATCTTCCCTGTATTAAAATCAAGAGGGATTATTTCACTATGAACAATGTAATGTTGTACTATAGAGTTCTGCCTCACAACAGCCTCCTGCATTCTGTCTGTGGATTGCACCCGTATGGATACTTGAACATAGCGATTGTGTTCTTGCCTGAGAGGCATTTATGCTTTGTGTCAAAGCAGGACAATTGCAGAGACGTGAAACTACTAAAAACTCCTGTTATTAATTGTACAAGGTGAAAAGAAGCTATTGCTTTCCTAGAAACATCTTGAATTACTGTAACTAACACTCTCAGTACCAAGTTTCCTTTGCAGTGTTAATGAGAGTCACAGTCTCTAACATTTCCTTCACAATGCATGTCTAATCGTGTAGGATTGCAGCGTTTTCAGTGGTCTTGAACCATGCTGTCAACAATTCCGTTTACTTTTTTGCCTGCACCTTGCTGGAGGAAAGACGACGTGGAACTACATCCCTAACACATATTAGTTTTGTTTAGAAAATATCTAACAGCAACATGTGAAGCGTGCATATACAAACAATGTAAACAGTAAGTCAATTGAAAGCATTTGTTTTCTTACCAGGGACTGAAAACCCTTATATTTTTTTATATTTTGTAGTAAATAAAAGTCTGCGTGATTTGTAATAAACAAAGGCCCGTGGTTCTTAAAGCTCAACTCCAGGCAAAAAAGACATTTAAATAGTGCATTGTGCATCAGTTACAAATCTCGATTCCAAACACCTCTTCCTAAGCCATCCTGCAATGTAATTGATCAAAGTCATCGTTTCCTTTATGAGCCAAGCTAATTTCCTGCGCTAGGGACCAGACATTTTTGTACTTCTACCTCCACTCTACCTATAGAATGTGTCCAGATCATGCACACTGTGATGGAGACACACGAAGGACCCCAGGAAGTAAAGAAGAGAGAATTGTCATTTGATCATGGCTTCAGGTAAGTAAAATGGGACTTAGGATCTTTCATACCAACGGTTAGTTAGAAGGGGGGTAGAAGGGACAGATGGGGAGTTGCTAATATCCTAGCGTTGGGCTTTAAAGTGGAACTAAACCTAATTTTTCAAAAACTGCAAGTAGACAATCTTTTTATTGCAGATGCTCTGTTTCTTCTACAATAGAAACTTACCTGCTTGTTCACAGTTTTCTACCGAATGTACACTGGGCTATGCATACACAGAACAGTGTGCATTTCTGGCAACGTCAGCTGTGTCGAAATGACTGACTCCTGTGTGCATGCACAGGATGGTGTCATCCCCTGACGGCCAATTAGGAGGCAGAAAAAACAGCACTCGGGAATAAGATAACCAGCGAGGGATGTAACTGCCACATTGCTAGAAGGTGGAGGGGGAGTATCTTTGGGAGTTTAGTCTGCCCATACTCGTGCATTCAAAAACTTTTGTTTCAGGATGAGGAAAATTCAAAGGAGCAGGACAGAAACTTTATTTCCAACAAATTTCCAATGGTGAATCTGTTTTTTGTTTGAGAAATTGCATTCATTCCAAAATTGAATGCTAAAAGCAAACAAAATTTTGAAAAACATTCATCAAGTCATTGAAAGTACCGATAAGAATTTTCGTTGAAATGTTTTTTTGAAGAAGTGCTCAGGTTATTCATTATTGACATTGGATTGTATCCGTAAAGCCTCTGCATGTGCATGCACTTCTATGGTCCACCTGCATGCATCTCCGAGGTGAATTCACACGCAGCAGACAGCGGGTCTGATGACCCATCTGAATGATTCCTTTTAGGAATACATTTCATTCAGCCTAGGTTCACACTATAGCAGATTGGGCAATGGCATGTTATTTGGACGGAAATTGCAATGCAATCCTGTTCAAATCACATGCAATTCTTTGCAGTGCGATTGGAGCCCGTTCATTTTGTATGGTCACACGCATGAAAAAGGTACAAGCATCTTTTTTGTTTACACACATGTGATCCAATTCTTGCAATTGCCCAGTGTTTTGCAACCTGTTTTGGGGTGCCATTAATTTAACATTTACACTGGTGGCAGATCACATGAACAGAGCGCAATTTCAATGCAGTGTGGAAAAGGCTCAGAATTTGCTACTTTTCCCACACCAACTATATGCGATCCGGGGATCAGACATTTTAACATGTGTTCTGCAAAACAGAGAAGTGCATGTGGACACAAGCAGTTCTATGAATCCTATAAGCAGCAGGAAGTGGGGTAAGGGTTACCTCTGGCTTCAGCCCAATAGGGTCAGGACTTTTGTGACCTTGTAAGAAGCCATCTACACATACCATTATACCCATAACATAATAAGTAACTAAGCAGATGGGATATATTGTATATAATTTTTATTATAAATAATGATTCATGAATTGATGTACCTAATTAGTTGGTTTTAATTGTGTAGGCTTTCTTGTGAAAGATACAGTATAAACTAGCCTTATACAGCTATATTTTATTGGCCTAAGTCTAAATCTTCAACATGAATCATGGGGTAAGAGTTCTCCTAAAGCCTGCCAGTAGCTGTCCTGACAACTGTCTGACCAAATACACTGTCTCAAATCTTGGGTGCAAAACAGTATTAAATGGCAGAACCATGCAGGACTGGAATTGAAGCAACTAAAGGACACTGTAATTTGGTACTATTATGTACACTCAGATGCTTAGTGACAGTATGTGAGGTCTAAACAGTTTAGAGGCCAACAAATGTCAGGTGCTCTCTTACCTCCTAACTCAAGGGGAAATAAATAAAGCTACGCGTTACGCCACAGGGTCACGTGGCTTCATCAGGGGGAAAACAATTGATGAAGCCAAGTGACCCTGTGGCGTAACGCGTAGGGGAGGGGCTCTGACGTCACGCCGCCGCGGTGGACGAGCGGCGCTTACAAACACAGGATCTGGGCATATATCAGCTGAACACAGCATTGCTGTATATAATGTGAGTGGTGATTTTACTTACTAATAAATAGGCTAAGCCTCACAAAGGATAAGGCACTATCTGTGGCTCTTTTTTACATGGTTTACTGGGAGGAGGAAATATCATCTTAACCATGCTTAAAGAAACCTATGGAGGCTAAAGTGTGGAAGGAGGGAGACCTCTGGTGGCAGAAATAAGGCAACCCACAATATGGATGGAAACAAGCATATAAAGTGAAGATTCCCACCTTGTCCTGACAGGACAAAAAGTGTGTTTAGCCAGCTTGTCTGGCTAACAAGGAGGTGAGCGCACACCTATCCATAGAGCACGGGGAGTGTGGCACAATACACCTCACTTGTCACTGAAATATTATAGAAGCACAAAGAGGACTTTTTATAAAACTGTTTTAAATATTGGATGAACATTATTTTGAAATGCACTACATGTTGCACTGGTTTGAAGCACAGTAATTTTGTTCACGTTATTATTTGAATTATCACTAGTATATGAGTTGTTGAGTTTATTATGGAGCGCGGCACGTATATGTATATGTAGATACATATAATGATTTATGTTTATGTTTTTGCACAGATAATGAGTATTGTGTAAAGTGTTGATGCACCATTAGCTATATATGATTCTAGTTATTTATTTATATAACGTTAAGGGGAGTATCACATTTTGGCTCACGAGTATTAATTGTATTTTCTTTCATTAACATGATTTTTTTTCCTTTTAGCTTCGTACAGATTTTTAGGAAGGTATAATTACCGTATTTTTCGCCGTATAAGATGCACTTTTTCTTCCCCAAAACTGGGGGGGAAATGTCAGTGCGTCTTATGGAGCGAAATATGGAGCGGCCGGTCCGGTATTTCCACCACGGCCGTGTCAGAATACCGGGCCGGCCGCTCAGCTCTGCAGCGGGACCTTACCTGTTCCTCTATCCAGCGGCGCGCTGTCTTCCCGGCTTCTGTAGTGTGGGCACTGGGCATGACAGCCGGGTGCCAAGTGCGCATGCGCAAGAAGCGGTGCTTTTTGTGAATGGTAAGGCGGTACCTGGGACACATGACAGATCCCAGAAGCCGCCGGACCAATCACAAAGCGCAAGTGCTTCTCGCTCATGCGCACTGGGCACCCGGCTGTCATGCCGAGCGCCATTACAGAAGCCGGGAAGACAGCACGCGGCTGGATCGAGGAACAGGTAAGATGAAACAAAAACTCTGTGGAAGTAAGAGCGGGTACCTGTCAAATTCAGGTACCCGCTCCCCACCTCCCCAAAGGTCAGCAGTCATCTGTACTGTCCGCAGTCTCTGGTCATCCCTGTGCTGTCCGCAGTCTCTGGTCATCCCTGTGCTGTCCGCAGTCTCTGGTCATCCCTGTGCTGTCCGCAGTCTCTGGTCATCCCTGTGCTGTCCGCAGTCTCTGGTCATCCCTGTGCTGTCCGCAGTCTCTGGTCATCTCCTGTACTGTGTCTGCAGTCCATTAGTTCAGAATTTTTTTTTCCTGTTTTCTGCCTCTAAAACCTAGGTGCGTCTTATGGTCAGGTGCGTCTTATACGGCGAAAAATACGGTACATTTACTTCATTATGCATTAAGTGCTATTAATTAAATATGTTGTAGCTGTAGCTTGGTGCATCTATAACTTAAAGAACTATAATGTGGCTGTGCATAGACTTGTTATATG